GTGGATGCTGCACAATCATCATCACGCTGAAGGTACTGCAAAGCAGTTTGAAAAAGAAGTGGGACGGCCTCTCTACAAACTTTACTTTGCTTAAGGATAGAAATTATCCAAGTATTCGGATGCCCGCATGATGGGACCTCACCAAAGATGGGGCCAGAAGAGGGTTCTCAGAACAAAGTAAGGATCACGGAGAATGAAAAGCAGGAAGGGCCTCACCTGGACCTGGACCAGGAGTTCGGAAAATCACACGGGAAGAGATCATAAGAAGTGTAATTTTAAAGTTATTTTTCCAACATAAGAATTCTCTTCACAATAGCCCCGATAAGTGACGTTTCAGTTTCTGCTGGAAGTCCTCTGCAGAACAGCTGGGAAGGTTAGCTTCTCCCTCCTGCCCCCCAAGGGCTGTCTCCCTGTGATCCCTACCCACCGTGAGTCGGCACAATCTGACAGCCAAGAGGCTTTGGAATTAGACGGACTGTGGTTTTAGTTGTGACATCACTGAACAACCGTGTGACCTCGAGCACTTTACTATACCTCTCTGAGCCTCCGTTTCATCGCCTGTGAAACAGAGATAGCACCTGGCCTGCAATAAATGTAACACACATGGAGCGCCCAGCATGACACCTACACAGAGTGGGCCCTCGAAAAGCGGTGAACTGTTTTCACCAACAGTCATAATTCCATTTCCTCTTTGGTATAACAGCCTTTCAGGAATCTGAATCTTCCTGTTATAGACAACCCGTCCTCTCAAGTTTTCCCTTTTCCAGTTCTTTGAACCACTGTCTTAATGATTAACCCCGCCGACCGCTTTGGCCCTTTCTTTAGTCACAGTCCGGGCTGTCACTGACCCTCAAGGTGAGGTGTTCAGAACCCAACGTAATATGCCAAGAGAGCTTTGCCCAGCACAAGGCAGAGCAATATGACGATCCTCCCTTGTTCCGGACACCACACTTGTAACAACGGGCTCAATCGTTCTGCCATCATGAAAACAGAGGAACAGAACAGACAGTGACCTGCACAGTTGGCTGGTACGAGCACAACCTCATGAGTTACGGAGAATGTGGAGACCACAAGGTTCATACTAACGGTACCGTGCAAGTCTCAAATGCTAAGAATACGTTTTCATCGTGTTGCTTTGACCTTGGCAGCTCCCAGAACTGTGGATTCCCGCTTCAGGAAGGGCTCAATCTGAGCAGCCCGGACACTTGACCACCCAGCTGGGCATCTCCTTGTTGACATCACTGCTCGAGCGAGAAGGGAAAGATTCCGGGGGTTTCCTCCAAGATCTTAAGTTACTCTCCTAAAAAAAAACCTTCCTTCTCTCCCATAGCCTCCTGCTCTGACCTTACCACAAGGTGTGTGTGGGAAAGGAGGGAAGGGTAGGAAGCAGGTGCTATTTTCTTTGCTGGGCTCTTGAACTAGAAAGAATGGAAAGAGGAGGTGGGGATGAGACACCCAAGTCTGAAAAATATGGCTTATCTCAAGCTGGGTTTTCCAAAGAGGCTCAATACTTTGAGTACTCTGAATTCTCAGCCACACAAGGTCAAGTTAAATTCAGTACAAAAATGCATACCAAAAGCTAACCAATGATTTTGGATTATCCGTGCCTACTGCATTTCCTGTTCAGTAGGGCAGAAGATAGAACTGAATATAACTTTCATTTGATACAATACTTGAGCACTAGAGCTATGTGTGAAAAGGATAGAAGATCGTGCACAGAGTTATCGAATAGCATCTATACTTTAAATATCCAAGTAAATCTGAATTACTTTTTATAGTTCACTCTTAATGAAACACGATACTGAGGGAGAAAAGCAAATACTTCGAAAAGCAACAATAATCCCGTACAGCTCTTCTGTGTATAACTCATGTGATCCCGGCACCAGCTCTGTGAGGCAGGCAAGACAGATGAATGACCTAACACATAAAGGCACTCTATAAACGGCAAAACACAACCCAAATATACCTAGGAGACCGACATTAGAACACCCAGATCAGAGCTGAGAAAATGAAGACTCAGAGACATTCATGCGATCTGCCCGAGTCTGGCATTTTTCATTCCTAGCCCAGGTTTCTTCTACCACAATGCCACCTCTCCATGACTCGGCTCCAAGCTATTCCCAAAGAGACCAGACCAACAATGCTTGTCACAAAGGCTACAGCTACGCAGGATACAGGCCCTGAGACTGAACTAGTTGACCCCTCAGATCCATTATATTCTGGAGCCCTTCTGTCTGGTTTCAAATCCTGCCTCTGCACTTACTATTGTTTGACCTCGGGCAAGTTACTTCATGGTTCTGTGTCTCAGGTGCTTCATCTGCAAAATGGGGACAATAAAAGTATCTACCTCAGAGGGTTGGCACGAGGACTAAATGAGTTAAAAACATAAAGCCCACAGAACAGCACTGACTCTTACAGGTACTATCTGAAGGGCTCTATCTGTATTACACTGCAGGATCATATACAGAGGGTCCTTACTATAACAGCACACTGTTCTATTATAGCAAGTATTCCATAAATATTAGCAATTATTATGCAGAGATTTAAGGAAAATTATGTACCTCTTTGGAATACTCAAAACTATGCATTTTACTTTATACTGTAACTCAATTTAAAATCATTTTTGTCTTGTTGAAATCAGAGGCTTCCTTCATTTTGGCATCTGTCCCACTGCAGACAGTAGTGTCCCCTATCCTATTAAGAGCATGGCTGGGTGGACATGCAGAGCCCTCCCACACATGGAGAAATGGTGACCCCCAATGGTGGCACACGGGCATTTGCACCGCCCCTCTCTCCACCTCACGAGGGGCACATCACAGCTTCTCTGGCCCTGCTGCTACACTGCTCGGACACCTGCACCGGCCGCTGTTCCTAGGCTCTCAGTGTGGACAGTCGGTAGAATTAAGTTGCGGCTCTACTTGTATTTGCTCAACAGATATTACAGATGTCATGAAGGGCTGACACGACAACAGAAGGGAAATTTCAGGAGCCAGCAGTCACAGGAGAATCAGGAAGGATTTCAGCTCAGGCTATATGGCCAAACAGTGGGCAGACTAGGGAGAAGGGGCTAAATACAAGCATAGTCTATTTTTCCAAGACCAGCTGGCCACTAGGAAGAGTATTTATGTCTATTGGTGTGATTATCACAGAAAGAAAATACTGCCCAGCTGTACCAAGTCTACACTGTGGCATGTCCAAGACACACCTCCGAGCTATTCTGTTGACCCACGCACATACTCCACTCCACTGCAGAAGTTTTAGTGGATTATCAGAGAAAATCCCCAATTATCTGAAAAGGCTATTAAATACTTCTCCTTTAAAATATTAAAATACTTGTCTAACGACCTATCTGTGTGAGGCTGCATTTTCTTCATATGCTTCAATCAAAACAACATATCAAAACAGATTGAATGCAGAAGCAGATGAGTATCCAAGAGTCTTCTATTAAGCCAGACATTAAAGAAATTTGCAAAGATGTAAAACAATGCTACTCATCACCAAACATTTTTTAAATTGTTATTTTTCATAAAAATATTTATTTTTGATAAAATATAATGGGTTTACTACTGTTACCTTTAAGTGAATCCATAAATAAATATTAAGAGCATAGAAAGGTCCTCAGATGTAAAAGTTTGAGAACCACTATAACCTCGTAACTACTCTAGGAAGCAGACAGAACTAGTTTAACCTACTTTTTATAGATGAATAAATAGGTTTGGCAAAGTTAAGTAACTTGCCCATATTCCCAGAGCACTGTTCACAATCTTGATTACACATGAGAAACACCTGGGAGCTTTTAAAACTGTCCATTACTTGCTCTGGAATGGGGCGCAGGCAATTTTTTAAAGGTCCCAGTGATTCTCATGTGCATCCTGGGTTAAGAACCACTGTCCAAGAGATTAACAGGCAAATATATAATTAGGTTACAAGTCTCCCAAACACCAATCTGATGAATAAGTCTACAAAATACATTTTCTTTTATATTTAGACCACATCTTTGTAGGTTCTGAATCCACACAAAGATCACACAAAGTTTAAAAAAACATTCTACTGGATTTCATCTCACTTACAGGAGTCTTGCTTTGCCACTCAACAGGACAGTTGTAATCTTGCATGATCCAGGGATGGCTCAACAAATTTTTCACAGAAATCCGTTTCTTTGGGTCCACCTAGTGGCCATTGAGAAGTAACTAGAGATTAACATTTCAAATAGAGAACATAGAACTCCTTTCCTCCTGAGAACTCAAAATGCATCAGAACAGATGTTAAACTTTATCATCACAAAAATGCTGTCAAAGACCTTAAAATGGCCTTAGAATAAATTCTTTAGAAAAAGCAATAGAGGCAAGAAAACTAGAGCAACCAACACAGGCTTAGAAGAAAAATGTTTAACAAACATGAACTTCATTGGTATGGACATTATTCATGAAGTTCAGTCAATCCATTGTATGATGGAATAGTCTTTTGCTGGAAAACCTATTCACAGGAAATATTCACCAATTTAATATTCGAGCAGCTACAATGCAGGGCATTCATAGTGAATATGCAATCTCTACCTCTGATGAGCTTACAATCGCAGAGAACAAGTTGAAAAGCACACCCTTCTTTTCCATTTGTAATTTTCAAATGTGAGCAGAGGAAAATTAATCAACAGAGATTAAGTTTTTTTGGAGTTGAGAAGAAAGGCTGAGGTGTTTTCAATCTCATATGGAGATGTGGTGGTCTGGCCCTACTTAATCAAGGTGGGTGAGCCTGAGGTAAACTCTGAATTAAAAGTGGAGATGGCTTAATAGATGGGAAAACTGGGAGATATTCTGAATACATATTAATGAAAAAATATTGCACTAATAAGGTACTCATGTGTTCAAAGTGTTTCCTGTTAATCTCATTTTATCCTCGTCACACCCCACAACTGGAGGCCAGGCTCAGAATCCCCACTTTATGGATCAGGACTAGGTCAGGTGGCATGCCTACTGATTGGCAGGGCAGACATCGAGACTTGAGCATTCCTGTCTTTCACCCTCAGAGGCCATTCACTAAATCGGCGGTTCTCAAAGCGTGTCCCAGCAGCATCAGTGTCGTCTGGGAGCTTGTCAGAAATGCAGATTCTTGGCCCCCCCCAGATCTACTGAATCAGAAACCCTCTGGGTGGTACCCAGCAGTCTGTGTTTTAACAAGCCCGTCTGGCGATTGTGAGACACGCTACAGTTGTGAACCACTGCACTAGATCACGGCGCCCTCTCAGCTGTACATCAGCTTATTCAAGCATTTATTCAGTATCTACCGTGTATCTAACGTACGAGAGTGAGAGCGAGAAATGGTTAGAGAAAACAGACAGTGCTCAAAAAAGGACGAAAAACCTCATCAGCAAAGACATATGGCAGAGGTCTAAAACAAACTCATTTGCGACATAATGAAGACAGCGTCTTGCAGAGGACGTCTGCACGGCAGACACAGTAAATGGAATTCCGAGGCTAATAGATAAACGGTCTGTCCTCCAAATGCAGCAGCACCACAGACGCCTTCAAGTTGGATCAAACAATTGCAATAGACTTCTATTTAAAAATAAATAACAAAGTTTACCTGTAGCATTTGTTGAAGAAGCAGAGTGCTACTGGGAGAGAGCCACTTAGGAACCTCATATTTCCCTCTCTAGAAAAAAGAAAAACATTTAAGAGATTTAGGTTCAACGAGCCTTGACACAAATTTCTAAGGTAACAAGATGCTGGAGGTTTACTTCCAAGCTTGAAGACTTCACCCAACTATAAGATTTGGTAAACACTATTAATAACATAAGAAATCCATTTCTTGCCTTAAAGAAGAAAATCCAGTAAATTAAATACTATTGTCACCTCTAAATTAGCCACATATCAGAGAAGGACTAGAGCACAGAGCATGTAACAGTGGGAAACGCACACGTGCTAGGGCTTTGGGGTCTGCACTATGAGTAAATGGACAGCAGGTACAGTGTCGTCCCTTTTTGTATCACGGAAGCAAAGTTTAGTTTATAATCTCAGAGCAATTATCAGTTGACAAAATGAAGCAGCAGAAAAGCACATTTGGTGGCAGCACACGGGCTGTGGTTAAAAACAGGTCACGTATCATCCACAAGGCAGAATTCACAATCATTGAGGGAAACTGAAGAGAGCCACCCTCTAAGGCAAGTGCCTCTTTGGGGAATGGAAGAGACTCAGGAGACACATGTTTACAACCCGGTACACTCAGAAATTACAGTCACCAAGTCATCAACCGAAAACAAGACCAGCGGCCCGTTAAACACTAATCCGTGACAGAATACCTCTGCATGACCCCCCACAATTCAGAGGAAAGGACCCCCACAATTCAGAGGAAAGGATACAATCATTTCCCCTAGCAGAGAACAAACTGTTTAATGATGTTAGGGTAACAGGGTAACTATTTATGAAAAATTAAAATTGAACTGTAATTCACAGTCTACATCAAAATTAATTCCACCCAGATTAAAGAGTTAAACGCAAATACAAAACTATGAAAGTCCTTAAAGAAAACATGGGTGGTTAGAATCTTTTCAGACAGGACAGCAAAACCAAAAACTGTAAAGACTAACAGATGACAAAAGAAAAAGTTGCATTTCTGTACAGCAAAACACTGCTAAGAAAGTAAATTAACAGCAAATTGAAGACAAAAACCTTTTCCACCTAAATGACAAAAGATGAATACGCCTCCTCACATAAAAAGCTCTCACAAAGTGTTAAGACTTCACCACCACCAAACCTGTTCTTCCCGCATTTCCCCATCTCAGCCGCACTACCAGCTGCTCAGGCCAAAACCTTGGAGTTGCCTTTAGCTCCTCCCTCTCACGCTTCACATCCCATCCATCAGCAAGACCTACTGGTTCTGGGTTCAAAGTATATCCAGAACCCCCTGTCACTCCCCCCAGCACATCACCAGCCTCTCTCATCTGGCATCCTGCAAGGGGCTCCTGACGTCCTCCAGGGTCCACACTGTCCCCCAGCCTGGTCTCCACTCACCACCACTGTTCTTTTAAAACACTGGGTCAGGTCACATCACTTCTCTACTCAGAACTCTCCAATGGCTCCCCATCTGGCTCAGAACGAAATCCGGGTTCCTTAATCTGGCTCTAAGGCCCTGCACGGTCTGTATCCCCACATCCACCCCATCCTTGCTACCTCTCAAGCTCACCTCCTAACTCCCCCTCATTCACCAAACTACGGTCACAGGTCAAACACATGCCCACCTCAGGGCCTTTGCACTCTTTGTTCCCTTTGCCTATGGCGCTTTCCCGCAATACCAGCAGAGCCTGCACCTTAATCGTCCTCAGGTCTCCACTTAAACACACTGGTGCAGTGAGGCCTCCCCTCACCACCTCATCATTCTCCCCCTCCCTTTCATGCCTACTTTTCTTTACATTCCTTATCCCCACTTGTCATATTCCACATTTCTTTATTTTCTGCCTCATTACATTAGACTGTAAGCTCCCCAATCACGGCGATTTTGTCTGTGCTATTCACCTAGAACAGTGTCTGGCCCTAGCATAGAAAAGGCGCTCAATTAAGATTTGTTTAATAAGTGAAGGAATGGATAAAAAACATACATTCCAAAAGAAAATGGGCAAAGAACATTCACAGGTAATTCCTAAAACAAGAACTTTTAAATGGCCAATAAATATGAAAATATGTTCAACTAATCTAGCAATAAAAGTAATAAATTTAAACAAAAATATGATACCATCTGCTGTCTATCAAACTGACAAACTTAAAAAAACACAACCCAGTGTTAGTAAGAGTTCAGGGACAGGAGTGCTTACATACACACCTAGAGAGTGTAAACTTTTCTGAAGAGTAATATGGAAATATGTATTAAAAGCATTCAAAGTTGCATATCCTTGACCCGGCAAGTTCACTTCTAGCAATTTATCCTAAGCAAATAATTTGGCATAAAAAATTGATGAACAGTAACATTAATCACAGAATTGTTTATGATAACTTTGGGAACTAAGGAACATAGTCTGATGGCAAACTCCAGAGGGTTCCCACAACTAATGAAGACAAAATTAACTGAACAGGGATCCAGGGTTAGAAACATCAAATAGGTCCAGGGAGACAAGGGGAAGCACACACACAGAAGCCAACAGTAAGTGAATGAGGCTGGAAGGGTGGAGGCAGGGAGGTGGGCAAGCCATTGAAGGGTACCACCACTGGGGTTCTCTGCTCTTACAAACCGTCTAGGACATAACTCTTACAGAAATCAGTCCAGCTTACAGGTGAGGGGAGAAACAGACAGGTATGGGTCACTCCCAGTCCTAGGACTACATGACAGGCTGGATTCTGATTACGTTAAAGAAATAATCAAAGTTCCAAAGTGTTATCAAGCAATGAATTTAAAAAGAAAAGGTGCTGACGTCTAAACAACTGAATCTCTGACTCAGCCTCCTTGATGAGGGCAGACAGGCTGACCTACAAAGCGTTTCCTAGGAAGGCCGAGAGCTTTCATGTTACAAGTGACACTCAATCTCGTTGACTTTTTCATCCTCCTTTATCTCGAGCACTCGCTATTACCCAGAGAGCCCACTCCCACGTACACCTTGCCAGGGCACCTCAACACTCGCCAGTGTCAGAAACTGACCAAGTTTGCTTCTGAATTATGATGATGAAGCCTCGAATTCCCTTCTCCTTACTGTCCCTCATCCACGGCCAACGGAACCCCAAGCTGAAGGCTCAGTGCTGCCTGGGCTCCAGGCCTTATCCCGAGGAAGGGGGGCTGTTTAGACGCTTCAGCCAGCTCCCTGGGACTCAGCAGTAAGTCACAGTTGCTGCGGGACTGGCCCGGCCTAGTTGGCCCCACTCTCCTAT